ACTGACTGCTCTGAACCCTTGGTCTGTGTTACACTTGGAGGACATCTGCGATGGTAATTAAGAGAAGTAATTCTGTTCAATAGGCATATATCTTCTTTGTAGACATGCTGATACCTTTAGTGGCTCCTGGGGAATAGGGAGGCAAGTGTGTGGGAACAGAGAAGCTAAAAGGCTGGAAAACAATCTTTAGTCAGATTTTGGGATGTGTTTTTAGCATGTATGGCTACCAGCGGTGTTCATCTACCCAGTGAATAAAGGTTTAAATTTACTCCCAACAGTACCTTTATACTACTACCACTAGTACAAAAAGTATGTATATAACCTTTACTTTTTCTGTTCGTACTCACTGACAAGGACCTTCAGAGCACATGCAAACATTTCAGTAATCTGTCTGACATTCAGTGATGGTCTCTGGGTGTTTTCTTGTATTGTCCTTTTAAAGTAGCAGTAACAATGCATCCTAGAAGGAATTCTGTTCTGATAAGAAAGTAAATGAGTATATGTTTCCCTGAATTACAGCCCTCCACTAAGTGTATTACAGCTAATAAATCTCATAATCCAAAGATAAAGGTCAGGAGAATAATCCTAAAGTCCAATTTGAATCTTATTCAGGCTTGTCTCTGTGCAAGGGGAGAGAGTGTTATCAGTGCTGTTGCAATCTTAACAATTTTGTTGATGCCATTTAGGGGAACCTTTCTTGAAAACACTTATGAAATGCCACTTGTTGATTGAATGGAGAGTGGTGTAATAACCTGCATTCTACTAACTGTTAGGTAATGTCCCTTCCGGCTTTATGCTCTTCAGCTTTTGTCAAAGGACATAAAGGGGGGAGGGAAGGGGGGAAAGAAATAAAAGGAAATCCACATCCAAAAGAAAGATATGACTTCAGCTTCCTCTTCTATTCATCGCCATTGAAAGAAGGGAACTTGTGCAGCTTAAGTAAGGAGGAAGTTGCTCTACCAGCAGGCGATAACAGCAGGGTTTGGAAGTTAGGAGAGGGCTCCGTGCTGCTGCTTTGGTGCTGTACAGCCCCAGGGGCATATCCTTCTCTGCCATCACATGATGAGTATCTTGTGCCGTGGCAGACAAAGAGCACAGGATGGAAGCAGAAAAGGAACATGGACTATTCTTTGAGAGTCCAAACCCACACACATATCCATACATATACCTACAGTACAGTTACATCCAACTCTTATGCTGTGCAGCGATCCATGCAGTGATGCAGTGACTGATCTGCTCCTACAGTAAAGCTCCTAGCCTTTAGTGTATTTTAGGACTCTCAACATAGCTAGAAAGGGAGTTTCTGCTTCACAAAAAACTGCAGATTCACCTTGCAGGTTCTGTTTTTACTGATCCTTCAGATGAGGAGTGAGACAAAACAGTTACCAAAAGGCTGTCATGCAGTGTAGCATTGTTGATCTTGCGCTGCATTGTTGTAAATCTGCTTGGTACTTGCAGCACATGATAGTAACAGAAGATTGTGACTTTATTTTTTGATGCAGCCAACTTGCCTGTGAGTTTTTGGCTGTACCTGTGCTTCTGGATCTGCTCCCTCTTTAAAGGCACATGTAATTATGTTTGCTTTGTAATCCTCTGCTTCTCAGATGCTAGCCTTACCTCACGGTAGACTTCTTGATCTTCACAGCAATGGCTGTGGACTGCACAATAAGGACACTGTGTAGGAAACAGCTATAAAGGAAAACAAGATGAATCCCATATGATGGTCTGTATGTGTGTATAATGCTGAAGAGCAGTGCCTGCCTCAGCACAAAGCTTTTGGAGAGAAATCAGTTGTGCATCACTAAGCGTGCCTGTGGTGGTCGCAGGTGCTCTAATGTCAGAGATGCATCTTGTTCCTTCAGTGCAGGGTGGCTGTACTCTCCGTATTGGGAATGATACATGTTTGTGCCTGAATGGCCTAGGACTTTCCACAGCAACTGACACCGGGGTTAACTTGAGGATTTAAGGGGGAGGTGCTCTGCAGTTGTGGAGGGCAGGATGGGGTTGCTTGTGGTGAACCTGTTTGTGATCAAGAATACTCTGTCAGGTTGGGTTTGTTTGACAGAAGTGCCTTTTGAAAAGTTACCATCGTTTGTTTTTTTAAAGCCTGACCGTAGGGAAGTGCATCTTGTTTGTGTAATGCACTTTGACTGTCTCCTGCATGGAAAAAGAGTACATTTGCTGTGCTTTTCTTCTCTGCGCATCCCTGTTCCTCTCAGGATTAGAAACCTCTGTTAGAGTTGAGAGGACTGGGAATGTGCACTCCCCTGGGAGATTCAAGTTTGTGTGTGTTGCTGTTGCTCGGGTATTGATGCGATGCTTTAGAACCGCAAGAAAAACTCTGGTCCCAAGAAGTTGTGTGGTTTGTCTCCTTGTTAACTCGGTGTAGATGGGTACAAAGCGGTTTGGTAGAAGTGTTTCTTTGTCACACTCATATGATTGAGACATGTTCGACTTCCAGAGATTTTGCTCCACTTCTGGCAATTTTTGAGATTCTTAAGTACCGACTTTGGATTCATGGAGGAAATACCCTTTCCTCAGGCAGTTCTTTAAGCCTGGAGAGTGTTCCTAAACTTTCTTACCTTCCAAGGATTTCTGGTAGTTGTTGCTGGCAGCGTTGAGGACCAAAGTGTTTGTGCTCAGGTGGAGGGATGGGTTGTGTGACGGGCATTTTTCCCTTCTGTAAGGGGTTCCTTATGTAGAGATGTATAAGGTGAGGCTTCCCATTCGCAGGAGAAGCCTGATGGGTAACAGTGAAGGACACGGAGCATGTTGTGTCTGTTACCAAGCACTTTGATTCTGTCCATTCACTGTTCCAGTCATCTTACTTTCTATTGTATCACATAACCAACATTTCTACAACAGTCAAAAGAATTGCAAAGGACATTTCTACATACTATGGCCCTGCTCAGATACAGTTATTTGAGTGATCTGCCCCCCATTGCCCGAAATGGAAGAGCGCTGTTGCTAAAATTTCACCCCAACTGTCAGTATTGCTTCTGTGATCATGTCTCTCTTTCTCTTCCCTAAACAGCCCACTGTTTGTAACGTGGAAGATTGGTCGAGATAAACGATTGCGTGGATGCATAGGTACTTTTTCTGCCATGAACCTGCATTCAGGACTCAGGGAGTACACACTTACTAGGTAAGACATTGTTTTCTGTAGCCTTGACTTAGCTATTTAAATAGTCTACTGAGGAGATGCTAGGTGTGCTTTGGTTTGTTTTGGGTTTTGTGGCTGTGTGCCTGTACTGGTCAAGGAAAACCTGTATCTCCTTTGGATGCTAAGTGTATTGCCTGATTATTTGACTAGTGGTGTCATGAGGCTATGGTTTCAGTTAAAAACCGTAACTTGGGCCTTTTTTCTTGTGATTGGTCTGGAAACTTCTCCAGTAGCTTACTGTAACTGACTATTACAGTATTTTTTCCAGTGTTCAGACAGATTGTAACCTTAATAGTTAATGTCAGGGCAGAAGACCAGAAAGTCAGGTTTGGGGATTATCCTATTCACACTTCTAAAACAGCAGGTATTCTCACCTCTTCTCCATCAGGTGCTTCCAATCAGCTGCAGTTAATTTAATGCTACAAATTTCCATTACATGTTACTCTTCAGATACATCCCAGCCCCTGAGTGGGAAGCTTCTGGATGAGGGAGGTAAGTGATGATAATCCTTCACTCCCTGGCAGCATAATCCTTCATTTTTTGATCTACACCTAAATTCATTCACCTTAATATTGTTCCATTTCCTTTGCATAGAGTGAAAACTAATAAGTTTATCACTAGAGCTAGTAGCAAGCTTTCTACTTATTTTTTTCTAAGAGTTTTCTTAAGTATATTTTCTAAAAAATCAATGGAATTTTGTTCCACTGAGTTACAGTAGACTGTTTATAGTGCTTTAGAATAGAAACTACGTTCTGGCATGTGTAGACCTCTAAAATTGTTATCACTTAAAATACTTGGTGCCTCCGGATCTCTTTAGATTTAGGGCTTTCCTCCATTGCAGGATCTTCCTCTGTGTTGCTACAATGCCTTGTCAATCCCAGTATTAAGTAATATGAAAATGGGACATGTTCTTTCTTACATGTCTCCCTAGTTTGTTGCAAGCTGAAGTTCATTTCATGCTTCTCTGCTCAGCTTGAAGGAATCAACTGCTCATCTCCTATAGAATTCTGAAAGACCTATTATTGTGTCGGCTTTATTTATTGTGTGGTCAGGGATGTTTTTGATTGTGTCCTTTAAAGACTCTGCAATCAGACTGGTCAATGAGAAGATGCTTATAATGAAATTCAAAGCAATTTCTCTGTTGAAGGTTAAGAGCTTTAAAATCTTAACCGTTAGTGAGCGAGACTGGAGGAAAAACAGCCAGTCCCCTGCACTGGAGGCTGTTCCAGTTAAGTGTGTACTTCACAGTGCCTGATTGAGAACGGTGAGCTTGTACAGAAAATTACCCCCTAGGACTAGGAAGAAGCTGATTGTTCCTTACAGATTTGTCCGTTCTTCCAAATAAAATAGGGCTGCACTCTGGCATACCTTTCAAATTGCTTGCAAGATCCCTGTCACCGCGTTCTAACTCTGAAAGCTGAAGTCAAAATACATGAAAAGTGATGCAAATTAAAGAGAACTGAAATACCTTGAGTGGAGTATTTAAATGATGACCACATGCTGTGGAAGTTTATTCTAGGCTAGTCAGGGGTTAGTTCAGTAATTTTCAAGATGAGAGAAATGGAACTATATACCAGCCTGTTTTTCAAAAACCTGTGGGAGATCAGAAGTTGTTTTACAATAACACGTTATTTAGTGGCACGTTGGGGTTTGTTGCCTTTTGTGAGGAACCTTTTTTCATGTTTGTGGCACCAGAAATGTTTCTTGTTTTTAAAGCAAACCAAAAAGCCAAATAAACTTTGGATGTGACCACTGAAATGTGAAGTTTGTATCTGAACCTAAGAAAAAGTTGTTCCCTTCTATCAGTCATAATTTGAAAAGAGAAAGGGAGGGTTACCTGCAATCAGTTCCCTTCCTGATGTTAGTCTCTTCAACTACAGAGCTTCCAGAGGAGAGTATTTGAGGAATAACCTTTCAAACACTTATGAGCTTGCAGAGTTTCAGGCTCCACAGGCCCTCCCTAGCAGGGATCAGAAAGTAGGACATTATAGCTTGATCCAGCAGGGTGTGGGCAATAGGCTCCTGCAGAAGACAGGACAATTCCTGAAAGAGAGAGAAAATGAAAGGCTTCTTCAGGGAAGGCAAACGTTAATCAATGGAATACATAGAATGAGAGCGGGCTGTCCACTTCAGAAAGTGGAATTTGACCAAACTTTTCAGTTGAGGATACAGGCAGATATTCTTCTGACTTTATTTGACACTGGAGGACCTTTTCTTGGGTTGATCTGAGGACAGAGTGTGGATAAACAGGAGCAGGTTGTTTGTCTAGTTCATTCTTATCTCTTTCAGCACCTGTGGAATTGTGGCCCAGCGCTCAGTGAGTAAAACGGTACAGGAGAACAGCTGCTCTTACACACTCTGCTGCTTAGTGATCAAATATCCCCCATTTCCTTCACATGCCATTTCATTACAACTACGCTGAGCAGTGCTTAGGAGCATGAGAAATAAAGTTTTCCTTAATTCTGGTAGTGATCTCTAGTTGTGTATTGTGTACAGTGCGTGGTGTGCACAGCTCTATCTGCGTGCGATAGTGTAGTTTCTTTCTCATAGCATAATAATGGTTCATCTAGGAATCTGAAGTGAACCATTTCTTTCTTGGGACACCTGCACCCCCCACTTGAAACATCTTTTTGGGGTCTGGAAGCTATACGGTGGTGATGTGTGACCAAGTGACTTTCTCTTCTCCATTTTGAGCTCTGTAGGCTGTTCTGCTGGTATTGCCAGTATGTTCTAAACAGGAAATTTATGGAGAATGATTCATCATTAATTGGATGCATCTGCCTAAGTTGTGAGAGGAGGGATGAGAATACCCAGAGTTAAAAATGCTAGTACTGTATCCTAATAAAATCTATGTGTTAGAATTTGATGTTCTCTGCAGTTTTCTCAGTGAAATGCAGGGGAGAGGAAGTGTGTTATTAAAATCTTCTGCAGAACTTTATGAAAGGATAGATTCAGATTTAGTGATTTTTAGATAATTTTGCTAGGAGATTAGTTGGATAAATCCCCTAACCTTGTCTAAAATGTTTTACGGTATATTGTTTATTAGGACCTGAGAAGTTTATCATGGGCGAAGTAGTCCTTTAGACTGTGTTAATTGAATATCCCACCTGAACATGTGAAAATAAACCAATCCAGATCATGAAAACTACCTTGTGTTTTACAGCTCCTTCAAGAAAATAGGATGAACTTGGAAGCAGGTTACCACAGAGTTTCATAACAGGTTGATAAATTACTTTTTCATGTATTCTGTTCAGCACTACGACTTAGATTCTGGCACTGAAGTTTTAAAGTCCTGCTCTCGTGCACTTGAGATAATGGATGAAATGCTTTCATTTATTGATTCTTAGTTTAATTTTTCTACCCATTTCATGTAACTTGAAGTCATATGTTACGTCTTGTGGATGTAACAAATATAGGTGTATAAATTAAGTTTTATCTCTGGTTTATCCTTTCAAGGCTAGAATATTTATCTGGGGAGGGAAACAGTAGGGAAGAGGTGGATAAAGGGAGACATTATATGATAGAGCCTTCTGTCATTGAAGAAAGCAGTGAAGAAAAATGAGAGGACTCCAGGCCTTAAGTGGATTAGCATAATGGCTGAAACCTGGATTTCAGTTCTGAACTAATATGTAACCCACTCTCCTTAACCAGCATAGGCCTGTCCCTACAGACTGTATGATGCAATCAGTCTCTTGCTGTGTGTTCTTCTGAACCACTCCACCCAAGAAGCATGGCTGCTGTCACACATTCAGCCTACATGTGGGTAATCAAGAAAACAGACGGGAGCTTGGGATAAGAAGCACAAGACTGAAGGAAGTGAAACTTGCAACTCTGCTTTCTCATAACTGAATTTGGGTGTAGTTTCCATACGAGCATTTGACTACCAGTGGCATCAACTACTGCTCTAGATTTGTCTGCATTTTCAAGATGCTCAATCCATGTTGCTGCCATATCAGCTGCTTGCTCTCTGTGAAAAACACTGACCTTTTCCTCCTGCTCCTCACAGTGAAGTTAACCACCCGACTACAGGATGGCAAAGGGGTGACAATAAAAAATACTGGATGTCTGACACATTGATATCGATGTTGGACTGACTGCCTTAAGACTAGAGGCAAGTACTTGTGCAGACAGGGCAGCTTCCCTCTTCTCTTTAGCTGAGGTTACTACTCTGTTTAATTCCTGTTTCTTTTTACTAATCACAGGCTCGTTCAACCTTCCCTGTAATCAGACCCTCCAACTCAGTGTAAGCTTCCCAAAGCCTTTCCTGTGGGTTGCTGTGGTTTTGAGAGTCATGGCTGCTGAGCCAGGGCAAAGCACACCCATGTGTGTGACTGCAGTTCTTGAACTGCAGAGTTGAGGGAATTATACATGGGTTTGACATTTGCTGTGACCTTCACTGTTCACAGAAGTCATGGTCAGAATTAATTCCTGCTGATAATACTTTGTGGGTTGTCTTTGTGGCTCTGATTTATAGCAGACCACTGCTGAAAGTCAGCTTTTTTTATTCTATTGCTGCTCTCTCTGGGGGCCACCAATGCAAAATGCCTGGTAATTGTGAGACAGAGCTTACACTGTCACTCTCACGATTAAGCTCTGCAGGGAGCAGTGTCACCTCTTGACAGTCTGAAATCACCATATCTATACGTATATATACAATGTCTACATATAGATTTATATGTATTTATTATGGTGTGACCACCAGGGATGGTGTTAATAATCTTAGACCCCCTTTTGTTTTTCAAAATGCTTCTGGTAAAATATAAAATTCAGGTATTAGCACTTTAATTTTCAACTGATGACTGGTTACCTTTAATGGCATTGGGGCAAAATTATTTCGACATAGAGGTATTTTGTAGAGGCTCATGTGTTTTGCCTGCCGTGTCATGCATGCACAGATGAGGCTTCACTGAAACTTGGAACTGTTCTGAAGTTCATGTAGGCTGAAAAAAGCTTGTTGCTGAACTGTTGTAGACATCAATTTAACAAATAGCATCCCTTTAATTTGGCTAAATCCTCAAATCTGTTCCAGTAGAATAGAATTGTTCAGTAGTAAAAGGGGTTGTGATGTAAACTCACAGTACCAGAAACTCTAAATGAAGTATACAAATGTGAATTTATTGAGCCAGGCTCAGTTACTCTGCATGAGTCAGTTCAGTAAGTAGGTCTGTAATGATTTTGTGCACGCAGGGAACTGCTGCTCAGCAGAACTGGATACTGCCTTTTCTCAAAGGGTAGAGCTGAGCAGCAGACTGGCTCTAGAAGTGGAGGAAAATCCAAACTTCTGCTTTAAGAATGGGTTAAATGCTTCTCCTTAGTTCATTATGAAATCAAAGTGAAACAAGTTTGTATAGGAGGGAGCAGGAGCATGCCCTAATAAATATATGGGTCTTGTATGTAGATGGTGTGTGTTGGGGATGCAGTAACTCTGCCTTTGGGTTTTTTTCCTTTATTAAAAACAATTAATTACCTGTTTTGTAGCTGTTCTATTTTTCCTGAGAAAAGCCTTGCTAGACTCTTGGACCTAACGGTAGGTGATGCCTGTTTCCTTAGCAACACTTCTTGAAAGAAAGCAAAGGAAAACACTACAGATGGAAGCAGAGGCTTTAGATTATTATCTTTATGAAAGGAGGGACACATGATGGTGCCCTACTGAAGCTTTTAAAGTGGATCCAGGGCTATCAAATATTGGTAACCATTTTATGGTTTTGCGGGGAAAACTGAATTAGAGAATATGAATTCTGTGACACAAGGAGATGCATAAACTTACTCTGTGAATTGCCTGTTTATGAAAGGGAACCATAAATGGAGGAAAAGTGATTACAAAATTCCTGTATCTAAATGAAGTGGCTCAGTGAGGGTTGGAGGGGTTTGCTGAGACTGTCGTTAAGTCTCAGGTCTCAGTAGAGTTTGGTGTAAATAAAAGGCATTGATAAAAATACTGATTTCATCCTCATGTTTTTAAAAACATGCATTAAGAGTTGGGAACTTCACATATATGCTGCTCACAAAATGCATGCTTGGAAAAAGCCATGATTGAGCAATGGAGCTTCCAGGAGTTGATGTAATTTGCGGCATTTTGAATAAATCAGATATTCCTGAAAGACGATTAAATGCAAACGAGTAACGGGGCACATCCAGCACTTACTCAGGTCTTCCGGATGGGTTTCGGGGAGGAGCCATGGCGTTTGTGACTCTGGTCTTTCCCACGATGCTCTTGCATTTCATGCTCTTCCCACAGTCTCCTTCTGTTCCGCTGAGAAGGTGCACGCCCTGTAAGTTCAAAGGCAGAGCTTTAGTGGAGTTGAAACACTAGTTGGGTTGAAAATCACATTTGTACTTGTCTTTGAATATTACTTGCCATAAGTGTTTGGGAGGAGGGTGGAGTTGGGGGAACTGGTTGTCCTGGTTTTCCTAGCAGAGCCCTTTGTTGCCCTGACTTTTCCATCATGTGTATGTATAGGTGTTGGTACTCTGTGGTTTTGGTCAACTTTTTCATTGTTTTGTATGGTACTGTTACAGGGAACATCTACAAAACATTGCCCCAGACCCTTGTAGAATGGAGTTTGCTTTCATTTGAGACTGTTGGTGACTTGTGGATTCCTTAAGCACTACAACGACACCTCTGGGTTACAGGCCAGGGCTGAAGAGCACAGGACAGGACTGTGTTCTCCCGCAGCAGAGCAGTGTACATGAAGTGTGTGTCAGCAGCTTGCCTTTTAGAGGAAGGTTTTGTGTGTTTGGAAACTCTCAGCTAGGACAGAGTGCAAGAAGTTGGCATAGAAGTTACCTGCTTCTGGGCAAGCTTCTCTCTGGTTGTTCTCAGCTCAGCAGTAGGTGTTTAGTATAAAGGATTTTTCCCCACAACTTTACTGCTGACATGGGGGGGGAGCAGGGGGAGTGGTGGAGAAAACCTCCCACTGCATGTACTGGCCAGTGCTTGTGTGTGCCGAGTATGAGAAGGATGTTAACATGGTTTGTCCCTCACTTCCTAAGACACTGGGAATGGAGGCGCAGCAGTGGTACATCACGTACCTCGCCCAGCAGAAGTAAATTTAAAGGCCTTGTTTAGCTCTAAGAGCTGTTTTTTGGTGAAATCTGCTAGTTTAGTACAATTTAGCAGGGATTAAGTGAGGTCAAAGGAAAAAGAATTGTCTCTTATGCTTACAAGCTGTTAAAATCTTTAAACTCTGCAGCTTTGTGTGGGAGGCGCTGTGGGAAAGGAGTCTCAATTAAAGTTTTCAGTCTGTCAGCACCTCCTCCATTTAGGTGTTTCCTGATGCTTCCTTTTAAGAAGTATAAAGAAGAAATAGCACGAGCTGGGTGTGAGGGACCAGGCTGCAAACCCCCTCCTTATCTCTGTTCACTAAGATGAGATGTCGAAACTTCTGAAATGGAATTTACCACTTTTCACACACCAGAGTAATGAGGATTCAAATGCTCTGGTAAACTGTGGCAGAATTTGCTGCTGTTTTTAAATAGATACTTGCTTCGAGAAATCATTCCTGTTGAGACAAGGAGGAGAGAAGTTGTGTCCTTTGCAGAGATGTACAGTTGAAATGGTAGAGGAGCTCTTGGAAGAAGAAATAGCTTATCCACCTACAACATAAGGACATACGCAGCCATAGAAAGGGTATGGTATGTCCCACTACAGTGCAGCCATTAAAAGTGCTGAAGAATGTCTGGAGATCTCTAAGCTTTAACACACTTCAGAGTCTGAGCTAGTCCAAAAGTCGTACAGGCCCCAGCTCTCTGCATGGTTTCAGCTCATGCCATGTATGTACTTGTGAGCCTGTGATCTCGGGGGGGGGGGGGGGGGGAGAAGTTGAAGTTGACCTGTCCTGAACTTCATCATTTACAGGTGACTGAAGTTTTACTATTCATTTGATGCATTGTAGGAAGGAATAGATAATTTACCTGAAAATATGTTCTAACATGATTTTACAGTGTGATACGAGGACTAAAAGTACTCCACCTTTGTCTGTCCCTCTGGTCTGCTGGTGCACTTTTCAAATTCAGCTGTACTCCATAAATGTGGATGGAGTGCCACACACACTCCATACAAGGTGATAGCCTTTATTTGAGAAACAGAAATTGAACATCCTTTGGTTTCTTAGCGATGTAAATGGCGGTACGGATACAGTTTACAAAGCTTCTAATGCTGTGAAAGTATGTAAATGAAGAGTTCCCTTAGAAATATTTGATGTAGATCCAAAAACCATTTCTGACCTCACAGATTCCTACTTATATGTGAATTTTCAAAACTTTAATTAAAACTTCCCTAATTGACACATAGAGAATAGCTTTTTGACCGTAATGGGGAATAAGTTTTTATGGCCATGACAGCAGCTTCAGTAGGACTAATAACAGTTCCTAAAGTGATGATACTGGGGGGGTGGGAATGGTGACATGTGCCTGTGTTTTAAATATGCAGGCTACAAAGTCTTTCAGCTCACATGCTTAAATTTAGATTTGCTGTACCAGTGCAATGGTATTTTGCTTCATGCAGATGACTTGTAATAGAGAGTCAATAGTCAGGAGCAGTCTCTCAGCTGGAGGAGTACAGCATGTAAGTAACTCCCACAAGGATTTAGGGAACTTGTACAGATGTTAAGACGTGCCTGAGCGCAGCTCCTGAGAACTTCCCCATCTGTCAGAAGCTGCAATCCCAGCTTTATTGAAAAGGGCCTTTGTGATGATGGCAATTACTAACAGCTGTGGAAGTCAGGGTGTGAAATCAGGTAGAGCAGATTTCGGCCGGCAAGGAAATGTGACTTTGCTGGAGTGCATGATGTTACACCTTTTTGTTTGTATGGATATTTTCCAGCTGAGTAAATCTTACTTAGCTTTAATTTGACTGGGGAAGAGAAGAAAAGCTCTTGGTTTTTTTTAACAGTACAACTTTCTGATACTTGTAGTTCAAGTAATTCCACAAACTGAAATAAGTCCAAAGCTCCCTGTAACATGCAATTAAATCACCATTTTAGATACCAGCCTAATTGCCAGTAACGTTTTCAGTGTTTAATTCAATATATAATCTGACTCAACTGTAAGAAGGTTGAAAGAGATTTGAATGTATTAAAAAGAGAAAGGTGTGTGTGCAAATGTGTATTTTTAACAGCATTGGTCCCTACGAGAGACAATTAAAAGAGCTGCTTCTGTTATCTCTAGGCCTGTTCTTACAGGTGCGATTGTTAAAGCCCCACAGGTAACGTGTTGGTTTTGCCACAAAGAAAAAGCGCTTGTTAATGCATGAACACAGAGAAGGCAAAGGGGAAAGAAATGCAGTTTAAGAATAACTGAAAGGTCGTTGCAACCTCAGTCCTCCAGCAGAGCATCGCTGTTGTTCACCAGCAGTATCTGTACGTGTTCTGTCAAGAAGCGGATGCTGGAGTTGTTTCTGTTCCCAAAAGCTTCTGCACAGTTAGCAAGCTGGTTCGATGGCCCTTTCTCTCTGTGCTGAGGATGCATTCTGCAGTTTGCTCACTTAGCTACAGAGAGGCTTTTTTTCCTTTGACCTAGACTGCTAATCCCTCATTGCAAAGAGCAGCAGCTGTGCTTTGTCTGTGAAGATCTCTGCGCTGCATGCAGCCTCATTCGGCAGGGCAACCCCCTCTTTGTGTGTTTTGCTTTTTCAATTGCTGAAAGGGTGACTTTCTGTCTCCTTGCCCAGAAAGCCCTCGTCAGGTTTGTGGAAGTCTACAGTGCAGGATTGCTGGGTTTTTTCTTCCTCAAAAAATGTAGGTTTCCAAGAGCGGTTACGTACTGTTTCACAAAACTCTGTTTGACTGAAGTCTTCCTGGCATTCGGGAGGTGAAACATTTCTGAGTTGCTTTTAGAAAGGTGATGTAACCTATTTCCATTTAAATATGAAACACTTCAGATGGGTTGAATTGTAGCCTTAACGGATATAATTATGGATAGACCATTTTTTGGTGTGTGTCCACACTGTATCCTCATTTAACATTGAATAATGAGGCTTCAGTTGCTCTTGGTGTAATTTCCTCTATTCAACATACTGCATTACATAGCAGTGTGAGATCTTAATGGTAGGTGAAAGTGAAGTTAATACAGGAGCAGAACTGATAGGCATTTGCTGGATTAGGCTTTACTGCAGTCATGGCAAAACTACTTGCCTTCAAAGGGAAAGGAGTTTTGCCATTTGCTTCAAAGCCTGTAGTTTCTCTAAGAAGCGAAGATGTAAAATACTGGTCAGCACAAATCTCACATTTGTGTTAATCTCGCAGTCAAACATTCATGTTTATACTTCCATGGTTTATAACAACCTTTTTCCTGTAGCTGAGCAGCATTTTCAAATGTATGTGATGCTGTGGAGTTAAATGCAGTCTGTGAATGCTGAAGCTGTAGGTTTTGAGGCTATAGGACAAACATGAACTTTTTGTCTCTTCTTCCTTTCAGAACTTCCTTTTTATTCCACTTCAGCTGGTTTGATTTGCCACTCAAAACCTGGTCTGGAATGGAAAGCACACACAGAGTGAGAGAACTGAATTACTGGTTAGCTGAGCTTGCAACGGTTCTGTTTGTTGGGCATCTTGACCTTAGATGCAGTGATTTGTGAATGCCCCATCCAGTCCTTTCTGTATGCTGAGGAAGTTGCAGGTGGCACTGAATGTGTCATCTAAGTAGACAGAATTGTGACAGAGAACTAGAAGTAATAAAGAGATGAAATGGGGAGAAGAGAGAAGTGGCAGAGCTGCTGAAAGGAGAATAAGAAGGTAGCTTACAGAAAACTTGTGTGTGTATGTGTGTAACAAGATCAAGGGAAGGAAATGCAGGGAGCAAAGTTTCCAGCTGTATAGAATGAGTTTATGTATCTAAAGCATGCTCTGTTTTTTTTTTAACTGGTGATTTATAGAGCTGTGGAACAGTCATGGCTTAATCTGTTAATGAGATTCATGTATGAAGTAAAAACCTACACCAAAGGAACAGAAAAAAGTGTTGGGAAGCCTTGTTTGTTGCTTTAGGTGTAAGGAATTAAGTTTTGTCCTGATGCAGCAGTTCTCAAGTCTGCATTCTGGGATGGCTTCATGATAGCAGGAGTAAGTGTCCAGAAATCAAAGTTCTCATGAAACAAGGAGTGGCTCTTTCTTTCCCTGAGGTCTGGTTACGTATGATGTGCCGCAAGGGATTCATCCTGTGCCTTTTTTACTGTATTTATAAAGCCACTGGGAATTAGTAAGATGCCACAGGCTCTTTACGCTGACAGCACTCAGATTTGCATCTCTC